CCTTGGGCCTGAGTTGAGCTTCCTTCAAGCTTTTGTAAGTATGCAGCTAGATAAATAAGTAGGGGCTGGTTATGAGTGAACCTTCTAGCCGAGACCTCCTGAGCTCCTTAGTAACATTTACAGCTACCTTCAGCTACTCATGTTATCATTTTTAACAACTTAACAACTTAGCTTCATTAGCTCCTCTAGTTGAGTTGATCTATCCATTGCCTTCCATGAGCTGCCATAGTTATTGTGAGCTAATTGTGTGCTGCCATAGGGTGCCAAACACTCCAACAAGCTGTCATAATGTGTGTCGTTCCTTTATGTACCTACATGTACAAAGAAAACAAGGTAAATGAAAGTGATTGAGCTAGAATGAATGCAAATGCATGTTACCATGTGTTAATACATGCTTGTGAGCTATAGAATGACATCATGAGCTAAATATAAGATGATATTATATTAGGGAGCTAACATATATATGACTTGTGAGCTGAATTGAATTGAAATGAGCTAGTAAATGAAGGATTAACATGCTTCCATAGTATGAATGCAATGAATTCAAAACTAATGCAAATCAATAACAAACTAGGTAAATAAGTGAATTAAATATCATGCAGCAAGTAATATAAAGATGTGAACATTTGAAGTTAGTTTTCAGCTAGCAAAATATTATATAACTTATCATTTAGTGTGGTAATTGTCAAATTAATCAAAAGCATCAAGACACTTGAGTAAGAGTATTTCCTTGAATTGTTTGGATTTGGATCGAGTAATGGGACCTTGTGGCATTACTTCTGGGTCTAGTGTAGGTGTAACCACATCCCCCTTCTTTTAGGTGATTTGTCCCTAAATCATTTCCATCCTCAAATGGTGACAAATCGGATACATTGAATGAATCACTTACACCACCAAACTCACCGGGTAATTCTAGCTTGTATGCATTGCCGTTTATCTTCTCCACAATTTGGAATGGGTTGTAATACCCCAAATAGTAAGCCAGTGACTAATTTGAAAAGAATTAAAAATTGAATATTTATTTAAATAATTGGTAAAAGATAAGAAAATGAATTGAAATAGTGTTTGAACTAAATTGTAGAAATAGATGAATAAAAGAGGGCATTTTGGTGTTTTAGAGTGAAATAAATTTAAAACACATTTAAATTAGGGATTTAAATAAAAAGGGGAAAGTAAACTAAAGAAGCTATTTTTCTTCTTCTTTCTTCTTCCCCGTGGGTTGCTATCCTCCATATCTCCAAAGGTAAGTTTCAATTATTTGGTTTTTTCTTTTGATTGTGGGTTGTTTTTATAACCTTAAGTGATATGTAAGCTTAATGAAGGATTAAAGAAGGTTAAAACTATGACATGGAATAAATATGGTAGATTTTATAAAATGGGTTTATCATGATATGTTAATATATGAAGGTTTGTTGAGGTTTGTTGGTAAAATTGACTTGTCATTAAGGTAAATGAAAGATTAGAAGCATTGGTTGAGTGAAATAACAAGTTAGAAATTGTGGTGTGATTCATATAATCAAATGCTCTTGAGGAATATATGATGTTTTAAGTGGATAAATGAAGGAAAGTTAGCAAGGCTAAGTAGAAGAGTGTTATATAGTATGGTTAGGGGTAAAGGAGATGAAAATTGCCCAAAGTTGGGTAAATTTCGAGTTGAAAACTAGAAAATCTGGGTAAGGGTATCGGTACCCTATGAAACAGTATCGATACCCTAATCAAGAAATTAGGCTAAATTATATAAGAGATATTGATACTTATTCAACCAGTATTGATACCCAAGAAATGTGGTATCGATACCACGGTAAGGGTATCAATACCAGTAAATATCGAATCTAATTTTGGTATCGATACCTATAGGGGGTATCGGTACCATAGCATAGGGGTATCGATATCATGGTGAGGGTATGAATTTATGTATCGGGCACCTTGTGTGCTAAATGATAATAAATTCATACTAAGTGTATGAATTTATGTATGGAAAATATATGGGTATAAACATAAGAACTGCATAATGAGGAAATTGTTCTTTATATTATTATTGGGTATGCAACCACACAGATTTTAGACATGATTGATAAATGATGATTTTAGCACTAGGGATGTAAATTATGGAATACGAAGTGAATTGAAAGATCCCTTGAGAGATGAAATTTGTCAAAAGTTTATAATAGAAGGTGAATTATTGTAATTGTATTGGATGAGTAATCCATCTAAATTATAGTAAAAATTGAGGTATTAGTACAATGGTAGTATGGAAATAAACCATAGAAGGTATAATGATGGAAAGGGTTAATTGATATGAAGAATGATTATTATAGTAGAGACTGCTCTAAAGTAAAAGAATAAAGGCCTAACTGTGCATATGATAGAAATGTCATTTTTGCCAATTAGATGAAAGACTAAGTGTCTTTAAGGCCTAACTGTGCATATGACAGAAATGTTTCATTTATGTCAGTTAGATGAAAGACTAAGTTTCTTTGAGGCCTAACTGTGCATTGACAGAAAAATCTCAATTATGCCAGTTAAATGAACGGTTAAGTACCGTTGAGTAAAAGAATAATGTCCTAACTGTGCATTGGCAGAAAGGTGTCAATTATGCCAGTTAGATGAATGGTTAAGTACTGTTGAGTAAAAGAATAATGGCCTAACTGTGTATATGACATAAATGTGTCATTTATGCCAGTTATATGAAAGACTAAGTGTCTTTAAGGGCTAACTATGCATATGACAGAAATGTGTCATTTATGCCAGTTAGATGAAAGACTAAGTGTCTTTGAGGCCTAACTGTGCATTGGCATAAATGTGTCAATTATGCCAGTTAGATGAACGGTTAAGTACCGTTGAGTAAAAGAATAATGGTCTAACTGTGCATTGGAAGAAATGTGTCAATTATGCCAGTTAGATGAACGGTTAAGTACCGTTGAGTAAAAGAATAATGGCCTAACTGTGCATTGGCAGAAAGGTGTCAATTATGCTAGTTAGATGAAAAATTAAGTGCCGTTGAGTAAAAGAATAACAACCTAATTGTGCAATTAGTAGAAAGGTGTCAATTATGCCAGTTAGATGAATGGTTAAGTACCGTTGAGTAAAAGAATAATGGCCTAACTGTGCATTGGCAGAAATGTGTCAATTATGCCAGTTTGACGAACATTAAACAATGTTGAGTAAGAGAATAAAGAAATCATAATGTAATGTGATATGAATCGTATATAAGCGATACGAAAGGATAATATTTTAAAAATAAAAAATTAGTATGAAAGGATGTTATAAAAGAAAAATATAAACAAAATATGATGGGTATGAAAGGATACCCCAAATGAAAATACAAACCAGTAGATTAACAGTATTTAAGGTGCCACCATAAGGATTATAAAAGATATATGATCAATGAGCACCTTGGTGAAATACATGTATAGTACTTTTATATGTAATGTATACGGGGAAAATAAAGAATTAAGGGGGATAATATACAAAAGGATAAGTATGATATGTATAATATAATTTATTTCCATGACGGTATGAAAGAATTATGGTTGAACTAAGAATTGTTTAACTGGTTCTTATAAATAAAGAAATTAAATTCTTTATTCAGTATTCATAAGATATTGTTGTATAGTTGTAATATCATTGTAGTATTATGTCTCACTGAGTAATACTTAATGTGTGTTCATTTCATGCGTAGGTTAAATACCAGCTGAGTAAGGAGATCATCGGACATCAAGTCAAAGTCACCTAATTCAGTAACAGTATGACATACCTGTCTACTTTTGATATATTTTAGTTGGCATGTAATAGGTTTATTAAAACGCTCTGTAAACCTTTTTGAATTGAACTGTTGTAAAACGTTGAATTGTGGAACATCACTTGTTAATAGTATATATAAGTTAATGTCTATTTTAATTATAAATGAATTCTAATGGTTTTATAAAATAAAAAAATTCAAAATTTTTTAATGGGAAACGATTTTTAAAAGTGACGTGACATCTGTAGCTCGTATACGTAAAGGTATATGGGAGATGGGTGTTACATGGACCGTCTTCTCGGTGTAGGAGTTTAGACTTCCTTTGGTTTGGAAATTATTCATTCCTAAAATGCACCCAAACCCAATCACAAACTTCAAAGGTTGCCTTCCTCCTTCTTTTGTTGACCTGCTGCTCATATTGTCGAGTTCTTCTTTCAATGTTTTCCTTGACTTGTTGATGAAGTCTCTTCATGAATTCTACCTTTTTCTTTCCATCTTTTCTTACTAATTGATTACAAGGAAAAGGGAGTAAGTCCAAAAGAGTTAAAGGGTTAAAGCCATACACTACCTAAAATGGGGAATACTTCGTTGCTGAGTGAACGGTGCAGTTGTATGCAAACTCTACATGCGGTAGACATTCTTCCCAAGTCTTGATGTTTTTTTTGATGATGGATCTGAGCAGTGTTAACAAAACTATATTTACTACTTCAGTTTGTCCATATGTTTGCGGGTGGCATGTAGTGGACAAGAGTAGTTTTGTGCCAATTTTACTCCACAAAGTCCTCCAAAAATGGCTTATGAACTTAGCATCCTTGTCAGATACAATGGCTTGAGGAAGACTATGTAATCTTTCCATTTCTCTAAATAACAAATTTGTAACATGGATGGCATCATCTGTCTTGTAGCATAGTATGAAGTAAGCCATCTTCGAGAACCTATCGACCACCATATAAATTGAATTTTTTCCACTCTTGGTCCTTGGTAGCCCCAAAACAAAATCCATAGAGATGTCAACCCATGGCATAGTTGGGATGGGAAGAGGCATGTATAATCCATGGGGCATCACTCTTGATTTTGTTCTCTTACACACTAGGTACCTCTCACAAACCCTTTCAACGTCTTTTTTCATTGTTGTCCAAAAGAGATGTTCTTTCAAGGTGCTAAACGTCTTTTCAACTCCAAAGTGTCCCATGAGTCCTCCCTCGTGTGCTTCTTTGGTAAGTACTTCTCGTATGGACCCTTGTGAAATGCAAAGTCTTTATTCTTTGAAAAGGTATCCATCATGTTGGTAGTATTTATCATGAGCACATGTTTCACACAAAAGATACTTTTCTCCAAAGTCCAAGTCAGTAGCATGCTGCTCCTTTATGAATGCAAAACCAAGGAGTTTAGAATTCAAAGTGTTAAGTAGTACATACCTGCGTGAAAGGGCATCAACCATAATGTAATCTTTACCCTTCTTATAATGTATAAAATAGGGAAAGGACTCAAGAAATTCAACCCATTTGGTGTGCGTCTTGTTAAGCTTGTTTTTCCCTTGATGTTCTTCAACGCCTCATGATCAGTGTGGATGACAAATTCCCTTGGTAATAAATAGTGCTGCCATATCTCCAAGGCTCGAATGAGTGCATACATCTCTTTGTCGTAGGTAGGGTAGTTCAGAGTTGCAACATTCAATTCCTCACTAAAATAAGCAATAGGCTTCCCTTCTTGGCTCTAAATAACATCTACCCCAATTCCGAAGGCGTCACATTTGACTTTAAAAGTTTTGTCAAAATTCGGCAAGGCTAATAAGGGTGTCTTTGTTAGGTAGTCCTTGAGCTTGATGAATGTTGCTTCTTGTTCTTTACCCCAAAAGAAGATTGAATTGTTCTTAATAATTCCTATTAAGGGAGCGACAATAGAACTAAAATTTGGTACAAACCTGCGGTAAAAACTAGCCAAACCATAGAAACTCTGGACTTGACTGATGTTAGTAGGCCTTGGCCACTCCTGAATTGCTTTGATCTTTTCTGGATTAACCTCTAAGTCCTGTGAACTAACAATGAAGCCTAAGAAATTAACTTTGTCAGTACAAAAAACACACTTCTTGAGATTAGCATATATGTGATCTTTACTCAAAGTGCCAAGAATGAACCTTAAATGATCATCATATTCGTTTAGAGATTTATTGCATATCAAAATGTCATCAAAATAAACAACATAAAACTTACCGATGTAAGGTCGAAAGACATGATTTATCAAACGCATAAAAGTACTTGGTGCGTTGATTAGTCCAAAAGGCATGACCAACCATTCATACAAACCTTGTTTAGTTTTGAAAGCGATCTTCCACTCATCGCCTTCCTTCATTCTAATATGATGGTAGCCACTTTTCAAATCAATCTTGGAGAAGATGCTGGCACCACTGAGTTCATCAAGCATATCATCTGACTGAGGTATACTATGACTATATTTAATGGTGATTTGATTCACGACCCTACAATCTATACACATTCTCCAAGTCCCATCTTTCTTTAGCACCAACAAGACTAGTACAACACAAGGACTCAGTCTCTCCCGAATGTTTCCTTTTTCTAATAGTTCTTTGACTTGCTTTTGTAATTCCTTGGTTTCTTTTGGGTTGCTTTGGTATGCTGGTCTATTGGGAATGGTGGCTCCAGGAATAAAATCAATTTGTTGTTCAGTCCCCAAATTGGTGATAGACCATCTGGAATTTCTTTGGGAAATATATCTTCAAATTCCTGCAAAAGAGTAGAAATGGAAGAAGGCAAGCCTTCAGGAGGGTTAGTAAGTAGAAAGCTTCCCTTGTACATAAGTGCAAGTATGGCCTTCTTTGTGGACAAATGCTTTCATATATTTCCCCTACTGGCATAGATGTTCAACTTTTGAGTATTGTTTTCTTCTGCCTTCTTTTCTCTCTCATATTCTTCTATACATTTTTAAGGGTCACTTGGCATTCGTGGACTTGAATTGGATGCATAGGTGCCAACGTGATCTTCCTCCCTTGGTGTTGGAATGAATACTCATTGGAGAACCCATCATGAATGGTCTTCTTATCAAATTGCCAAGGGAATCTGAGAATAATGTGGCTTGCACTCACTGGCACCACATCACAAAGGACTTCATCCTTATACCTTCTAATAGAAAAAGGGACGAGTACTTATTTGGTGACCTTGGATTCCCCCACATTATTTAACCATTACAATTTGTATGGGTGAGGATGCTTGGAAGTTTTCAAGCCTAATTTCTCTACCACGTGAGTGCTTGCTACATTGGTGCAACTTTCTATATCAATGATCATTATGCAGACTTTATCTTCCACATAACATTTGGTATGGAAGATATTATCTCTTTGTTCATCTCCTGGACTTTGAATGTTCAAGGTTCTCTTAACAACAAGAATGCTAGATGAAAGAGACATGTTAGTGAAAAATAAGAAAATGAAATGTGTTAAAGGACCTTACCAGAAATGCTCTCACAAAGCCTCACGAATTCACTCCAAAGAAACTTGACTGACACTCAATTTGCTCGTGTTTTTACTCTAAGACCTTATGGATTTTTCTTGTCATCTTCTAGTCTCCCACGCTCAAGCCTTTTTCCTCTCGGTCTCCTTGTTTCAAGTTCTAAGTAAGCTTTGCTCAAAACTATCTCAAGTAGTCTTATTTGTTGTGCGTCGGGTTAAAATGGTTAGTAGGTATGGAAAAGGAAATATAATGCAATAGGGTGGCTTAGAAATAAGGAAGAAAAGAAGAAAAGGCATTACTTACAGCAAAGTCACTTCAACCTTTCTATCACTACAATCAATTTAGAAATGCTTACTTGACTTGCTTGGTGATGAAAACTTGTTGTTGTGCTTTCAAACTTCTTTTTCTTTGCAATTTCTTTTCTTCTCTTTTTGATTTCTTTTCTTCTTGAATTCTTATAATTTCTTTACTGAATTTTGAATTTTCTTTACTTGCACTTCAACTTTCTTTTTGTATTTTGAATGTGTTGTCGTTGTTGGACGTTGCTTCTTCCACCAAAGCTCTGAATTCTGCTTGATATAAGGGTGAAGTACCCTAATTGATTGTGGATCTAGGAAATAAGCAAAACATATTGCAAGTAAGTGAATGGTTCAAATAGAGTGGCTTAATAGTTGATGTATGATATAGTCACGTCTACACCAGATCCAGAGGTCATGCCACACGGTCCCATTACTAGGTCAAGGGCCAAACAATTCAGGGAAGTTCTCTTAACTAAGTGTCTTGAAGCTTTTGATTCATTTGATAACTTAACACTCTCTTATGTTATGTTATATAATGTTTTAATAGCTAAAGAATAACTTAGTATGAACACATCTTACACATTGTTATTTTTAATATGTTAAGCATGTTAGGATAGTTTTATTATCATATTAAGCATGATTATTATATATACATCAAGGCAGCATACTTATAATGCATTTCATTAGTTTATTTGCATTCATATTAACTCTTAGGCTTTATACATTATCTTACACATATTAGGAGATGATGTACTTAGCTCATGACCATTATACTTAGCTCACATTACCATAAACAAACATGGCAGCAAGGTATTTAGCTCGTTTTAGCTCAATATCATGAACTTACCTTGTTTCCTTGCACATATAGGTACAATAGAGTGTGATGCACGTTGAGGTAGCTTGGTGAATGATTTGGACATCATATATAGCTCACAAACAGCTCACAAAATACAAGGCAGCTCATGGAATGCTAAGGGAAGCTCGATTCAGCTGGAGAAGCTTCAGGCTAGCTAAACTTAAACTTAGCTAGTTGGACTATTTGAAGCTAAGTTGCTAAAAGTGATGACAAAGGTAGCTGAATGTAGTTGAACATGCTGTTATGGAGCTCAAAAGGACTCAGCTAGGAAGATCATTCACAAACAGCCCCATGCTTGCTAGCTAGCTCAACACTCAAGCTAGCTTGGAGGAGACACATGCACGCCTAAGAAGAAGCACATGACCAGCCATCATCCAATGCACATGGGTGCACCACAAGGCTTCCTAGAACACCCATGTGCCGTGCATATGACCAGCCCCCATGTGCCTTGCATGTGAACTCATTTAGGCGCCAAGATGAAGAGCCCTCTCCCTATTCGGCCAAGCATCATCTCCCATCCAAATTGGCGCCAACTTGAGGAGACACAAGAACTATTCGGCCAAGGATCATTTCCCTCCATCTAGGGCCGAACCATCCTCTCTTTTAGCATTTAAATTATGTCTTTATAGGGAGATACATAGGCTGGCCGAATCATCTTGTATTTATTCGGCCATGTCTCTCCATTTCCTATAAATAGGAAAACATTCCATCATTTGTAACAGACCTTTTTATTCAATTAAAGTGAGATTATTCTCTTCTTAAGTCCTGGTGACTTTTTATCGACTTATCAAGTATTTTATACTTGTGGCGTCAACCCCTTCCTTTCATTTTGATACTTCTGGTTCCTAGTTCATATAACTAGTGGGTCAAAGTACTTAACACCATCCCTTGAAGAAACAATATAAAGATTGGGTCTCTGCTCTATATAGCATTGGTTCTTCTTTGAGATTTCTTCAAGATACTATCCTCACAACCATCCTTTTATTTCATCACCATAACCATAGCCTTATCAACTATCTTCCGCTTCCATTACTCATTATTTAAATAGCCTACCAATTCACCCATATGTCTACCACCCTTAACAATTCTATTTTGAGCCATTCACTTTGCAGGTTGTTTTGCTTCCTTCCTAGATCCACAATCATTTGAAAAGGTACAAGTACCTTACATCAAGCGGTAATCAGAGCTTTGGTGGAAGAAGCAACGTGCAACAACAACAAAAAGAAAAATTTAAAAAGAAGTGCAAAAGTGAAGTGCAAAGTGAAAGAAAAAGAAAAAAAATCAACAAAGAAAATTGAAGGACTCAAAAGTCAAAGCACTCAAAAAGAAAAAAAACAAAGAAAAGAAAGAAAAGTTGGAAGCACTCATCAACAATTCTCATCACCAAGCATTTTCAAGTAAGCCTTTAAAATTGATTGTGGTGATAGAAGGTTGTGAAGTGAATTGTGTAAGTAACCCTTTCATTCTCTTCTTTCTAATTTCTAAGCCACCTTTTCAATTATATTTGCTTTCCATTCCTACTAACCATTTGCAGCCGACGCCAAACAAGTGAAATTACTCGATATAGTCTTGAGTAAAAGTTCATTAGAACTTGAGACAAGAGAATTGAGGGAAAAAGCCTGGAGCGTGTGTGAGATCAGAAGAGGACAAGTAAAAGCCATTAAAGTCCTAGAGTGCAAACACGAGCGGATTGAGTGACATCAAGTTTTCTTGGAGTGACTCGTAAGGCTTTGTGAGAGTATATTCTGGTAAGGTCTTTTACACATCTTATTCTTTTCTTATTTATTAACCATGTCTCGGAGTTCAGGACAATCCCCAGAAAGAGAATCCCCTAATTTGCAGACTCAAGCCGTTATGCGTGAAATGGCAAGATTACTGAAATTAGAATTGGAGCCTTTGCAAGATCGTCTGGATCAATTAGAAGTATCTCTAGGCAATTGGAGAGTAAATCGCCCTAGAATGGAAGAAGACTTAGAAGAGGAAGAGGCTGAAGTAACATCAGTAGCAAGGAGAGATGTTCATCGAAATCAAAATGAAAACTTCAGCAACATTAAAGTGACTATTCCTCCATTTCAAGGACGAACTGATCCAGAAGCCTATCTTGATTGGGTAATCAAAATTGAACACATTTTTGAATGCCAAAACTATACGGAGCAAAAGAAGGTTAGAATTGCTGCTATGGAATTCATTGACTATGCCTTAGTTTGGTGGGATCAGTTGGTGAGTTCAAGAAGACGAAATGGTGAACGCCCCATCACAACTTGGGAAGAAATGAAGGCCCTTATGAGAAAAAGGTTTGTTCCTAATCACTATCACCGAGATCTCTATCATAAGTTACAAAATCTGAAACAAGGAAGTAAGAACGTTGAAGATTATTTCAAGGAGATGGAGATTGCCATGATCCGAGCCAATGTGGATGAAGATAGAGAAGCAACAATGGCAAGGTTCTTATCTGGTCTAAATATTGATATTGCTAACCTTGTTGAACTTCAGCATTATGTAGAAATTGAAGAGATGGTGCATGTGGCCATGAAAATTGAAAGACAACTCAAAAGGAAATCCTACACTAGGAGCAGTCCAAATTCGGCCACCAAATGGAAGCAAGAACCTATTACCTTCCAGAAACAAACTCCAATCCAACCAAAGGATCGCGCAGAGATACCCAAATCTGCACAAATGGGTGAATCTAGCAAGGGTAAAGAAAAGCAAACCAGCACTTTCGAGAGATCAAGAGACATCAAATGTTTCAAGTGTTTTGGAAAAGGACATGTTGCTAGTCAATGTCCCAACCGAAATGCCATGATGGTACTTGACAATGGAGATATTGTATCAGATTCTGATGAGCCTATTTTTGACGAGGAACCTGAAATAATACAAGACGAAGAAACGGAAGAAAATGCAGATCATGGTGAAATGCTTGTTTCAAAGAGGTGCCTACAATCAAAAACATCCCAAGAGGATATTCAAAGAAACAATATCTTTCATACAAGGTGCCATGTCAAGGATATGGTTTGCACAATGATCATCGATGGAGGAAGTTGCATAAACGTAGCTAGCACTCTTATGGTTGAAAAACTTGGATTAGCAACGTCAAAGCATCCTACTCCGTATAAACTCCAATGGCTCAATGAATAAGGTGAGTTAAATGTTACCAAACAGGTTTTAATTCCTTTTTCAGTTGGTAGGTACAAGGACGAGGTGCTTTTTGACATTGTCCCTATGCATGCTAGCCACATTTTACTTGGGAGACCATGGAAGTATGATAAAAGGGCTATTCATGATTGTTTTCACAATCAATACACTTTTAAGCATGATGGACGCAAGGTGACCTTGATGCCTTTAATGCCCAAAGAAGTGCAACAAGATCAGTTGCATATGAGAAAGAGTGTACAAGCATGGCACAAAGACAAAATCCCAACAAAGAATGAAGAGGAACAAAACAAGAAACCAAACTTCTTCATAGAGAAACATGATGGTTCAATGCTGGAAAATGAAGGGTCTTCTACGAACAATGATGATGTTTGGGACTTAAAGTCGCAACTCTTCACCAATGGGTTTAATCTTCAAAAGGTAAGTAACCCTTCATATGAAACCTTTTCTCTTCTCACTTTTCAGGACCAATCACGTAAAAGGTCACTTCCAAAAGGGATATCCTTAGATAAAGATCATTCCCAAAAGGTATCTGTTGGTAAATCATATTTCAAAGAAAGACCTAAAAGGAAATCTTACGAAAAGGTACCTAATGGAAGAACACAAATGTTCAAAGAATACTTTCTATTAGCAAAGAGGCGTGAAGCTATGC